ATGTTTTATGATTTTTAAATATACTTTAATAATATAAGATATTATTAGATTACCAATAATAAGTAAATGATAAAGCTTTGCTTGCTGTCCAATTGCCTTCATATACCCTGTATATCTGTCGTTTGGCAGTTTAGTCATCTGAATTGTCAACATGCTCGAAATCGATTAATTAGCAAGTAGCGTAATGCGAATATATAAACTTTTCTCATTATATACAACGTGCATCATCTATTAACAATTTAATGGGAATAAGTTATAAAATTCACAGAGCAGCAAAGCAACGAGAGTTAGGAGTTGTTGAAGGTAAGCGTATGCAATGCATGTGCCGTGCCTAATGAAGCGGCGTCATCGCATCACAAGCTGTGACATATGCAAATTGCGTATACGCCCCGCAGCACAAATGCCATAGCTGTAACAGCATTTAGTTTACCTTTGTGGCAGTCTCTAATCAGCGCTCAGTGCTAAATTGTTTGTGCAATGATGCAATAAGCGGATTTGTCTCTGCTTTACAGTCCAGAGGCGTGCGATCGAACTGGCAGCGGATCGGTCAATGCGATAATTGACAAAGTGTCCGAGCTGAGCTGAGCTGAGCTGGCAAATGTTTTCCGACTGTGGGTGGGCAGGTCGAGCGATGATCATGACTGAGATGATTGAGCTGGAGAGTTGCTCACCTTTGGCTAGCCTAGTCCACGTTCGATTGTAATCAACTTGAATACTATATTTATGCCGCCTGCCCCACGGCTGTCGCAGCCTGACTTCACTGTAGAGCATATCATAATTTACGACTTGCAGGGTAGCCGGGCAACCGGGCAGTCGGGCAGGCGGGCAGGCGGGCAGGCGTCAGGCCTCAGCGCACGCGTTTATTCTGTTTTCGATTATGCGCCTCATGGCATTTGGCAGTCATAAGCTGGCGATTGGGTCGCCGGCCTTGATGGCTAGCAAGCCGCCTTTGGCGTTTGTATCTTGCGCCTGCATCTTGTATCTTGTATCTTGAATCGCGCTGGCCGCCGTTTGCTGACCACATGGGGCGGCAGCAGGAAATTTGTTAGCCTGCCATAAACAGCGCCGAAACGTATAAATTATGATTGCAACGGGCCGCGACTAGACGCTTATCGATATGCAAAAAAAATAAATAAAGAAAAACGCGGGCATAAATGAAAATGAGAGAGAGAGAGAGAGAGAGAGAAAACACGAAGCAAATCCCAGCTCGTTCGCTTAGCGAGCGAAAGTGTTGAATGATGTTCTAGCAAAACGTTTTCAACAGCCGCCCAGCGGCCAAAAACAATTTCTTTTAATTAATTTCCAACAACGCTGTGAGCCGCTCAGTTGTCTAGACGCAACAACACGAAATACTTCACACGCCGACGCTCGAACCGTGTGACAGGTGCTGATTGAAATGACCCCAAAAGAGCGAGACATCGCTCTAAGTGGAAATCAAGATGGAGCTGCCTTTCACACTTGCGCGGAAAACAAGCGTAAATACTGTGCACACAAACAAATTAAATGCCTGCAACAACTACAAAAAAAAACTCTAAATAAAACGAGAAATTTACATTTGATTTATTGCCATAACAAAAACATTCACTTTACAATTCAATTCCATTCAATTCAATTCATTTGGCTTGCTCGCTTAGGAGAACAAATCTTTGACTGCGTCGACAGCATCGTTCTAAGAAATATATATATAATAAATATATTTATATTTTATATAGATTATATATGTATGCTGTAGGCTTACAAAGGTATCCTTAATACTGTCCCATAGATCAGCGTTGGCCACATCCGCATTGACAGCCAACAGGATAACAGTTAAAATTAGTAAACCGTTGTAATTCATGTTGAAATTGCGTTTTTATTTCTTTTTTTTGTACAATTTTCGATGATGCAGATGCTGCTGGAATTATACGACTGTCGTCTTATCTGGTTGGCGTATAAATAAATAGCTTTACAGACGCAACGCAGCTGATAACGCTCAATTTGCCAAAAAAAAAATTGAGAATTTTTGTGTTAGATTTAGAGAATATGCAATACTCTGAATGCGGATAAAA